CATATCTTAATAAGCCAGCCTGAAGTATTTGTACTATTTCTGAGGGGCAGCAAGGAGTAGTCAGATTTCTGTTTCAGAAAAATAACTCTGGCTGCTGTAGGAAAGAATGTCATAAAGAGGAGCCTGAGGGAAGCGAGAGGCCAGCCAGGAAGCTGTTGCAGCCATTCTGGAAAAGAGGTATAAGGTTGAGGTAGGGCAGTGACGGTAAGAGTAGGAGGGGCCAGGTGGAAGGGAACATGCAGGATACAAACTAAGTGACCTCCAATTCCAGGCTGTCCCTGCCTGTCTGTGTTCATTATAGAGTCGCCACATGTCTCCTGAATGGCACTCTTCCTATCCACTTTTTATTTTATCCTTAAACATGTTTATAAAAGTTACTTCACAGTCCTTTCCTGCTCATCCCACATTCAGGTCATCTAGGGTCCGTTTCTCCTGAGTTGTTTTTTTTTTGTGTGTGTGTGTTTTTTTTTTTTTTTTTTTAATGGCTCAGTTTTCTCCTCCATACATTTCAGCCTTTATTGTGTCATGGACATTCTGAATAGTAAGCTGTAGAGACTCAGATTCTGTCACCTTCCACTGAAGAATGCTGTTTTATTTTAATACACAATTAATTACAAACAGCCTTTTTAGGAATGAGTACTGTATCACCCTGAGACTTTGTGAGAATGGATCTCTTTCAGGTTTTCCCTCAGGTATAACATTCTGGAGACAGTATCCTTTCTTCCACAGCCAGCCTTAGTAAGGCTGGATAGACCCTTCAGAGTACGTAGGATCTATATGTGGGATCTATGTGGTTCTCTCCTTTAGAGGTAGCAGCTCCTCTGCTGCCTGCCCGCCTGCTTTGGGTCATTCTTCAGTGCTTGCAGATTGTTAAAGTACTTTTTCATAAGTTAGGATAGTTTGATACAAGCCGTTCAACCATTATTGAAAGCAAAATTAAATAATGTGTCAGGCAGAGCTGATGGCTGTATTGTAGAGACAGAGCCTGTACTTTGGTACCAGTCTACCCAGCTGTGGGCGGGCCAGTGTGGCTCCATAGCCCTGATGCGCAAGGACAGTCGCCTGAGCAGGTCTGAGGGAGTGGACAGCAACAGCAACAGAGGTTTCTCTAACATAGCAGCTTGGAAGTGTACGGAAAGTTAAGGGGAAGCTGGAGGAATTGAACCTGACCTCTTTTAACCTGGGTTTCCTTACTGCCACCTCCTTGTTCAGCCTGTATAATAAGATGTAATAGAGCTCTGATTCGTGGGTGTGAAGTAAATGGTGTTTCTGATTATAGAGGCTACTGGACTGAGCTTTGCTGGGCTTTGATCCATGGGCATAATTTCTTGTCATTTGGTGGCTTCTCTGACCCCGTGGAGACAGAAGTGAAACAGGGTTGTCGCTACAGTTATCAGTGGAAGCTCTGTCACTGTCTTGGTGCTGACCTTTGAGAAATATAATTCTCCATGGGTCTTCTTTATTAGTTAGAGTAGAAATAGGCTGTGTTAACAGAAACTCAAAATGACAGTGACTAACGTAGAGGGTGAAGTCCGTGTCACACACAATTTGGGCAGAAGCAGAAGCAGTCTTACACTTCTGAGGTAGTAGCTCAGGATGAAGGAATCAGGCTATGTCAATCTGTTGTCACTCCTGTGTCGTCCTGCTCTGGAGGGTGCAGCATGAAGAGGCTGCTGTGAGCACAGTCACCCACAAGGGACCCACCCCAGAAGATGCGTGCATTCTTTGACCGGATCTTAGCTACGGGCAACAGAGGAGGCTGGGAAATAGAGTCTGTCACAACCATGAGCTCTTTTACACATCTGACATTGTATATTGAGGACATTTGGCAGTCTCTGTCTCCAGTCCTGAGCCTATGAATGTTGTTTGGGCTCCCAGTCAATTCACTGACCCACCATTGATGAGTTGGGACACTTCTTACTGCTCTGCACATCTCCTTAAGGGTGTAAGAAGACAAGACTGCCAGTGAAGATCCACCAATGAAAGAAAGTGTGTGTGGGGTGAGGGGAAGGCCAGGACATAGCTCAGCAGCACAGTGCCTGCCTGGCAAGTGCAAGGTCCTGAATTCAATTCCTGGTACCAAAAAAAGAAAGTGTGACTGCTCAAAAGTGAGGCTGTGTCTGCACACACAGTACAAGCACAGCACCAAGCTCCAGACTTGGTCTCTGGTGGCTCTGCTAGGCAGGACACTGCTTAGGCAGACTACAAAGAACCCACGTGCTGCCCAGTTTCCAGCACTGACCTGTCAGCTCTGTCACAGATTGACACCTAAGTGTGTCTTTTCAACTTCCCAGGTCTGTCTGTCATCTCCAAAGTAGTCGGGTTGGGTTGGGTTGGGTCTAAGGTGTGTGCACAGTGCCCATCTTCTAGGATCAAATGTTCTAGCAACTCTCCTTGTATTAATAACCTTGTATTAAAACAATTCTAGGAGGACGCAGCATGTTCAGTGTTTCACTGAGTGAGCTGGGCATGTAATTCTGTTAGTGTGCAGGTACACACACGCACATGCCCACAGTGCATACTTGTGCATTCCACGTGAGGCCCTAGAGGCCTGAGCTGCTCCATTTCCGTGGGTGTCCCTTAGTTGCATTTTTTATGGTTAGACTTCATTCCACAGTTTTCTACTCTTTGAAACTTTATTTAAACTGTATTTTTGTTTAAAAGGCCTTTCCTTCTAATATTAGAACCATATGTTCAGGGAGCTGGCGAGATAGCTCAGCAGTCTAAAGTGCCTGCCTAGGCAAGTTTAGGCAAGTGCAGTTCCATCCCCAGCACCACATGCCGTGCCAGCCCTGCCCCCAGGGCAGGGTGAGCCGACCACAAAAAAAAAAAAAAAAAGAGAGAGAGAGAGAAAGAAAGAAGACTTCTGGATGGCTAACAACCTAAGTTTGCAGACCAAAATTAGAGAAAAAGGAGGGCTGCAAGGAAAGCCAACATTTTGGCCCTAGCCTTTCAAGGTC